TTTCAAATCTCATCTCCCTAAAATCAATTCTTTGTATTGAATTAAACGAGAGGGTTGGGTGTAGACCCCTTCTTCTTCGAGCGTAGGGATGCCCACTGTAGTGAGGGTGGTCTCGATGCTCGTCTGTCAATACAAAGGCGCTTCCAACATTCCCTCGTAAAACCTCGGTCTCGTACTGAGTATACTTTCAATAATAAATTGATTTCTCTTTGTATCAAATTAAAGAGAGAAGATTGGGTGTAGACCTCTTCTTCTCCGAGTGATGGGATGCCCACTGTAGTGAGGGTGGTCTCGACACTCGTCTTTCGATACGAAGACGCGACTTTATCCACCATCTCGTTTTCACAACTTCCTTCCACAATTTTCACACCTAAAACCTCGGTCCCGCACCGAGTGCATTTCAAATTATTTTCACAATAAAGACTTGAATGGTCGTGGAGTGGTTAGGCGTAGGCCTTCTCCTATCCCGAGTGCTGACGTTTACCGTAGGGTTCTCTGTCGCAAAGCACTTACCATTCAAAACCAAAAACACTTAATAAGAGAACGAAGCTCTCTTTATGTTGAATTAAAGAGAGAGGATTGGGTGTAGACCTCTTCTTCTTCGAGTGTTGGGATGCCCACTGTAGTGAGGGTGGTTTCGACGTTCGTCTTTCAATACAAAGACGCCTCGTTCGCCACACCTTTTTATAACAAAAACTTTGAGACAAAGAATTGGGTACTACCCGTAGGGGTTACTATCCGAGGACATGTCTCTCCCCCTAAAAAAAACAATCCAATCAATCAAACGTGACTTCTTGCCCCGCGTGGCGAAAACTAATCAATCTTTCAAAAAGGATATGTTACGTCCGTTCTACCGCAAACAGGTAACGCCTAAGTCTCCAACGAGCGAGCAGCAAAACACCTAACTGCTAGAATGCGCACGATAGCATCATCCATAAAAAACATCAACACACCGTAGGCCGAACTACGGCTGCTCTGATTTCTCATACCAGATGAGAATACGTAGGCACAAGACGGCGATGTCTTGGCGAGCACAATCCCCCCGTCACCCGTAGTTTCCCGAACTACGTCGACTCTGACTTTCTCATATCTATTGAGAATACGTAGGCATAGGACTGCGAAGTCCTACCGAGTCCGTTCTATCTCCCTTCTCCCTCGTTACCTCTCTCTCTCGTTTCTAAACCTTTCCCTTTACCCTTTGAAACACTCTTTTATAGCATAACATTTTAGCACATCGACAAACAAAAGGTTCCCATCGAGTACGATGGATGCGAGGGGTGCTAATACCTTCCCCTCGCATAACCGGCTTCCGAACCCATTCTTGGTCGCGAGACCATCTTATCCATTTCTTTCTTAAGGTTTTCTCGATATTTTCCTTTCCCCTCATGGGATAAATAAAGTTCGGTGGCGACTCTTCTGTCTATCTTTTTCGCCTCCCCGTCGTTGCACGATGCATTTTTCGAGTAGCGACACCAAATACCTCGATTCGAAATCTTTCGACACATACTCTCCACCACCATCAATCCTCACTTTCCTTCTTGATCCGGTTAGTCCATAGTTTTCGACTGAAATTATCTATGAACATGACAAAGTATCTGTTACCTCCAATCGAATCCACCTGGATAAGACAATATACATTAGAGTATATGAATTTGAGAATTGCCTTTGACTTACTTCCTACATCTTTGCTAAAGTTATTCTTGTGTTGTTTTTCTTGAACACATTCTTCACACACTTCACTTGGAATGTCGATTTTTGGTAATCCTAAAACCATATTTCTTCTCTTTAAATCTCTTATGTCTTTGAAGTTGAGATGGTTAAGTCGATAATGTCATAACCATTCATCTCTACTAGCTGCAGTTTCAAGGCACTTATGCTCTATCACATTAAGTTCAATCCTGAAGGTCATATTCTGAGACATTGGAGCCTCCAAGATTAACCTACCACCTCATTCGAGAACTCACATCATCTTGTCTTTTATCAACACCTTGTAGTTCTTTTCGACCAACTTCCATATACTGAGCAAATTACTCTTCATGTTTGGTATGTACAACACATTCGAAATTACTTACCTCTTGCCATTTTTCTTTATAATTAAAACATCACCAATATCTTCAGCAGCTAGAGTATTGTCATTTACAAATTTTACCATATTCTTCATTGAGGGTTTCATGTTGACAAACCAATGTTTCCTACCAGTCATGTTTGATGAGAATCTTGAGTCCAAGTACCACTGATCCTGGAATCTTTCATCATCTCTTGTTGTGACCATTAACAATATTTATTCTTCTTCGTGTTTCTCCAGCTTTGCATCGATTTCTTAATTCTTCTTGTTTTCTCGACACTCACTAAAATAGTTACCATACTTCTGACAATTGAAACACTGAATGTGACTTTTATCATACTTTCAACCACCACCTTGTCCTCTACCTGCAGCACCACCTCTTTAGTTGCCTTGGTTATAAGATTTTCTCTAATTCGACCAGTTTTCTTCCTGCTGATTTCGACTTGTTGTAGCCTCCTCTACCTTTGTTGTCATTCCAACTTCCTTTTCCTTTCTTTTCTTTTTCTGACTGCACCTGTAAAGCCATATCACTCTTCGACTTTCCTGCAGCTCTTTCGGTCATCCTTTGTTCTTGAGACTCAAGCGTCCCTTAAAGCTCTTCCTTCGTTAATACTGACAAGTATTTCGACTCTTTTATGACTACTACCACGCGGACAAACTTTGGAGCCAATGATCTCAAGATCTTTGAAACAACTCATTTTGATGTCAATATTTTTCCACATACCTTGATTTGATTCACCAGTTTTGTAACCCTAATGAAGAAATCTGCTATAATTTCATTGTCTTCCACCTGAATCAATTCATAAGTCCTTTTGTGAGTTTGTAACCTCACCTCTTTCACCTTTTCTACACCTCTAAACGATTTTTCAAGAATCTCTCAGGCTTCTTTTGCTAATTCTACATCACTAACCTTGTCCAAATTATCTGGATCAACACATTGATGAATTATAAAGAGAGTTTTATAATCATTCTTATTCAGCTCCTTGTGTGTAGTCTTTTCTTAATCTGTCGCATTTTCTACAAGCGTTGTTATTCCTTCCTTCACAAGATCCCAAAGATCTTGATAACAGAAAACCACCTTAATCTGCTTGTATAAATTCTCATAATTATCTTTCTTGAGAATCGGAAGGTTCACGAGAAAGTGCCCGTTTGAATTATTCATCGCCGTCACGATTTTCGTTCTTTGAATCGTAACCAAAACTCTAGATACCAGACGTTGAAATTCAACCACAATCTATTGATGAACAAGATTGTTATCAATCACGCAATGGCAATGAAAAAGGTTGAGAAATAAAGAAAAAAAATAACGTTGGAGAAGAAGATGAATGAATATTCTACAGAGTTTCTCTTTGTCCATAATCTGTGAAAACTTCCTTATTCACTTGCAACTGCAAATTTTGTGAATACAATGTTATGAATTGAGTTTTTTTACAAAATAAGCGTTACTCCCTATTTGTGGATTTAGATTAGCTTGCACTCCAAGCCAAAACGCAAAACTATAAAAGCTCAAAATAGTTCACATTACTAAAATATGCCTAAGTCGAAATCCCGTGTGAAGCAACCTGCTTCGACACTTCAACACACTAATACAACTCAAAACACACACATATTAAGTTAATTCAACTAGACTTTGCTTTTGTCGAGCTATACTGTTTCGACGCAAGAAATTACAAACTCACAGTTATGGTGGAGAGGGAGAGTTAAAATTTTACATTTAGATTTTGTTAAGAAAGAAATTTTAAATATAACTTTTTTAAGGATTATTTTAGCATTTCTCAGTTTAAGTTCATATCGCATGTCTCTCATCCTATTCACTCATGGGGAAAAAATGAAGAAACGTCGAAAACACTCTGTTTTGCTTGCAGCACCAACTCTCACGTTCATGTTATCACAAAGACTAAAACACAAAATCAATGAGAAATAATGATGGATATGAATTGATGTGGGTTTTCAATTCGGTTGATTTAGAAATTACTATCTTTTTGAGTTGAGAACTAGAGAAAACACTAAGCACAACAAGATACATTTTTTCTAGAAGGGTAGTGAAAACAATGCTTCTCAACAATCAAACAAAATGTTGATAGAAAGAAAAAATACAAATTTGTATACTTGTTCATTCAATATTAGATGATGCAAAATGCCTATTAAACTAAGCTCTATAAACAAAACATTGATATAGATCAATCAAAGGTAAAACCCCATTTATATTACCGGTTTCTAATATTAAATATTATGGAGGTACGACTTACAAATTATTTGCTCAGAGCTAGAACTCGTTGGGTTTAATTACAATTTCTAAAAATTAGATTGTTTAACCAAAGAGAGAAATATTCAATTGTAAATAAATCCAAGTTGCTAGGCAAAGACCTTAAATTTAATTTAGAGACGTTAGAGACGTGTGAATGGAAGAAAAAACTCTGAAGACTTTTTATTTTAACCGGCCATATGGGACTTTCCTTTATTTATTTTTGTAGAAAATGAATACTGAATTTTATTGTTTGGTTGTAGTAACATTTAACATTTGAGTTTCATATTATCCTAAATTCAAATTTTGTTTTTCAATGGAAGGGGTGACTCTACTTTTGCAATCCATCAGTGATCTTCTCACCTTCCAAAGAATTTCAAAATAAAAAAGATAATACTTTGAGTACTAATCATTGAATAGTCATATCTAAAAATTTCTACTGGTTTCATTACCCAGAAATTTCCCCAAAACATAGAGGACAAGAAAGTTGTTGTGGTATTAATATAATCTCATCATATCCATCCTCAGAGTACCTAGCTAAAATATTAAGTTTGCTTAAGAATTTCATACTACTTACAAAACATCAGCCAGTTTTTCTAGCAAAAAGACCTTATTAAAGGGCATATATGTAGTCCACATGTTCATGATCGAACTCAAAAAATATAGCAAGTATGCAAGACACACTTTAGTTTAAACGTCTTTCGCCAATCCAGTGAAATCAGTATCCCCCGATTCCATATCCATGGATCTAGGACGAGTTTCTTGTCGGCCATACTCTTCAATGGGTATCCCTCTCCTTGTAGGGGATGAAGATGATGACTCTGCCTTTGCAATAACATCAAAAAGGCCGTTTTTCATTTCTTCAGCTGCTTCAAATAAGCGATTGATACCACCAAAGAAAAAGTTGCGTTCCATGTTTTCAATATCATTTCGTAGCCCAGGGAAGAACATACCATGGTCTGGTGAGCTGTTTGAAGAGTCAAATGTGGTAGATCTTCCTCTAAGTACCTCATTAGTGATATCTTCTTCAGTGTACTCTTTGTTTGATTGAAGCACTTCAGCAGGCCTGAGAAGTAGTCAAATGTAAAGATCAAGTTTTAGTTTCAGTCGCATTTGAGAGAAGAAAATTCAGTAGCGCAGCTCTTATTCCCAGGAACCTACTGACCAAATATTATAACAAACCAATAAAGCACAAAAAACCTTTAAAAAGAATGTTTCAATATCAAGATACTTTGAAGGATCACTTCCAAAATGCAGTGCTGCCTGTGCATAAGCCAAATACCAAAAATTGAAATCAATTGAAGCATGGGTCTACATGCTTCCATGCACTGCATAAATAGAATCATGTCCATGTATCATATCATAATACTTAAAATTTGAATGGAATATCTAAAATTTCACAGTCATCATATCACGTCCATACTTCTTGGGAAACTACTTATCAAACCTTAGAGCCCTCAACCTAACCTAAACCAAAACATGACACGGAAGCCCTAAAAATCAGGTTGCTTGGGCATCAAAAATCAAGTATGGATCAACTCAAACTCTAAGTTGCGAAACACACATGTGTGGCGTGCACAAGTTACTAGATGCACTCCCTTTCTCGCTATGTTGCAAAAGAGAGCACGCATTCATGTTCTTTTCAGCTGTGAAGCAACTGAATGTTGAAAATCGATTGCATCTTCTATGTTTACATAAGTTATAAATCAAACAACGTTAGAATTTATTTAAGGCTCTTAATAAAGAAAAATAATGTTCTTCCCCAAACTCCAAAAACGTCACAATAACCTATCATTGCAGTAGCATTGTAAGGGCATAAAGCATCATGGTTTAACTTCCAGTTAGGATCTTGATGAAACCACAAATCAATCAGAAAGATGTCCATGCAAAAACAGCACTTTTCTTCAATAACCTAAAAATCAAACTAATTGTTTTTCCTACCATGATAAAAAAAAACTAGTTAATCAAAACCAATACCTCCGATCTTTACCCTAATTTCATGTGAAAATATGTCAATTTGTCCGTTTCCTATTGAATTTCAAGCATTCCAAATTTTGATTCGAAACAAATTTCAAATTAAAGAGATAGATTTCACAGAAAAATCCCTTCCTCCTAAACCTAATCAACGAATCGATCATATCTTTATAATAAAGAAGAAGAAAGGAAGAAAAGTATTACCTTCCAGCGCAAGTTCTGAGAAGCTCTTCGGTTTTCTCGCATTTCCTAACGAACTTTCCAGGTTCAACCTCTTCCGTTCTGCACTGCGATTTCACGATTTTTCTGGTGGAGCTATGTTCGTCGGAACCTGAAGAGATGTTGCGCTGAGAATCGTCGTCGTTGTCGTCGCTCCAAACCCATCCCATTTTCGCTTCTCAATTTCGCGTTCAATACTAAGGCGGTTATTATGCAGAATGATGGTCATGGAGCATTTTAAAGGGTGGTTTGAATAACACCGTTATTTACTTGAATAACAAGTCTATTTTAATTTTAGTTAAGTATTTTATTGGAAATAATAAGTAAAATTTCTTTTGAATTTTATCATAAAACTAAGTAAATTCTTTTTTATCTGAAAAGAAAAGTATTCAAAAAAATTACATTATAAAAAAAGACACCATAGTTTATTTTCAAATAATTCATGTATTATAATTAATAGTTTATCTCAAAAGATTGTGAGTTCAATTTTCTTGGCCAATATAATAAAAAATTTAGTGGATAATTTGTAAGATAATCGGCTATGATTTTATTTAATTTTTAAAACCTATCTCAAATTATAAAATATTATTGGTCATTAAAAAATTTAATTATTATTTTATAAAAAAGATAAATTATATATTAGAGTTAGGACATATTGAAAAAATATCATTAGTATTGCATTAGGAATGTAAGATTAAAAAAATTTATAAATTTTACTCTCTCCATTTCAAAATGACTGTGGTTTTAGTGGTAAATTTTTGTTTCAAAATAATTGTCGTTCTCAATTTTTAATATAGTAATAATTGTTATTTTTTCAATTTTATCATATAATTATTAATCTGGACACTATTTTTAACATATTAATAAGACTAATTTAATTATTAATCTAGACATTATTTTTAACATATTAATAAGACTAATTTAATAAAAGTGCAATATTTTATGACAATATCATTACATTTTTTAATTTATATACAAAAACTTTAAACAAGAATAACTTTAAAACGGAGAAAGTACTAAAAAGAAATATATTGTATTTTTCTTTTAACTACTTTATTGCAATGAAGCAAATAAAAAAAAATTAGTCTCTTAACTTCACTTCTGTTGTTATATTTAGTCTCTTTTATTAAATTATGACAAAAAAAAACACTAAATTATTGAAATTTTTTTTTAAACTAGCAATGTAATAATTTTTATTTACCAAATAAATCACACTTTCAAAATTATTACCAAAATTGCAATGTTTCAAAATGCTTTAACATGCGTTCCCCAAACCAATTGGCGAAATAGGCCAAATTGGGCTTGAACCAATTCGCCACACCAATTGGCGAATTGGTTATAGTTTTAGGGTTTGTTTTCGTTTTTCAGTTTTCTTTTAATTATCATATAATATTTTTAAGTTTTAAAGTTTTAAAATTATCATATTTTAGAGAAAATCATATTAAAGTTTTATAATTTTAATTATCATATTTAAAGTTTTAATATGTAATTGTTTTTTGATTTTAATTATTATTACTATTAACCATAAAATATATTAATTTATAATATAATTAATATTGATATAATTAAAATATATTCGTAAGCATAAAGTGATAATAAAAAAAAATTATATTAATTTATAATGTAATTAAAAATACACGAACAAAAATATAAATATAATGAAAATTAAAAAAAAAAAAAACCTAATGATCGGCTCTATCCAAGTGACCACTGGTGCCACATTGGGGGGACGCGTGTTGTGACGAGGTCTTCGACGAGGTTGTTGTGGTGTGTCAGGATGTTGTGTGTTCAGTTGTGGTGGAGGGTGCTGTTGGGACGGCCCCGGCGTATCAGCTAGATCTTGCATCATTTGACCCCAATAGTCGGGAGGTCCCATTTCACATGCACTTCCGTAGTCAAGGCCAATGCCCATGTTTTCGTACGATTGTCGGGGAGGGTGGGTGGAGTATGGACGGTATGGTTGTCCGAAAGTGTACATGGAGTTGGGTTGGTCTAGGTGTGTTGGTTGTTGTGGGGTGTGGTAGTTAAATAGTGGGTGGTTGGAGGTGTAGTTGGAGGGGGTAGGGTCGAATGAGTTGTTCGGGATATAGGTGGCAGGGGTAGGATCAAAAGACATATCAGGGATGTACTGGTTAGATGGTTGAGGCTGGAATTGGATTGGTGGCATGTAAGGTGGTTGTTGTTGATAGGGGGTATATGTTGGCATGGATTGGGGAGTGTCTTCGTATGGTGGTTGTTGGTGATGGTCTTCGTATGGTGGTTGTTGTTGATGGGGGTGTCTGTTGGTATTTGTGGGTATGATGAAGAACCGCGTTCCCTTGGATCGGCCAAATAGGTTGGCTGGGACAGGAAAGGCTGGGTTGTCGTGACAGAACTAAACCAAGTCATATATTAAAGACTTGGCCTAGCCACGTGCACAATATTGTCGGTTAAGACGTATTGTCTTCTTCTTTTCCAAAGTACACGCAGCTCCTTTGCAAACTCCTTCCAATCACCAACCATCCACTATGCGTCTACCCGTTTTTGATGCCACTTCCCCAAGTCTACGGGAGCATCTGGAATATCTTGATGCATCCCAAATTGGAGTTTGACCCGATCACTTTGGTGCATCTCCACCGTAGTGAACCTAATTATAGGTGTCTTTGTTGTCCACACAGCGGCATCGTCGGGGTTGGGCTGGTGGTCGAGACCCTCGTACGGCATCCAGACAAACTACAATGTAGTTGTAAAATTAAGTTAGACAGGATGTGTGAAGTGTATACATATACATTAAAAAAAATTAGGGTAAATAGCTTACATCATTTGGCCCAAGGTGGTCGATAAGGTTGCGGTATTGAATTATAGAGTGCCTTGGACATTTCTCATAATTCATCCCGGGTACAGACCACCTAAAAAAATAAACAGAAGTTAGAAATTATTAACTGAAATAGAATACGTAGCTGCCAAATAATGTTGAAAAGATACTTACTTTTTTGCGTAGGGGAACGTAAAAGAATTTTTGTTTATTGGAGCAAGCATTGGCATCCTCGACCAACCCCAAGCTTGCAAAAGATAGGCACAACTAAAAAAAGTACAATAATTTTTTTTGGACGTCTTACAAAGTGCGCTATATAGATGGGCGAGGACTGCTGATCCCCAGCTATATTCACACACCTTGTTGATATTACGCAATAATGGTAAATACATAGTATGAATTGTATTTCCAGTGCCGTCTGGAAATAAAAAGTGCCCAAATAAAATCATAATGTAGCACCGAGTTTTGAGTATTTTCTCATACTCGGTGCTCTCATCCGTTAAAACAATACCGTTGTATTGTTCTCTCAGGTATTTTAAGTTAATACCTTGACCCCTCGGGCGGCCCTTGCTTGCCGCCTGAGGTCCGTCCTCACAAAGAGGGGCGCCCAATAAATCTTCACAAAGTCGGTCAGGGACACCAACTTTGCCGGTGACGGCCTTACCATCAATGTGTAGGCCGAGCAACATATAAACGTCCTGGAGAGTCACAGTACACTCACCACAAGGAAGGTGAAATGTATGTGTCTCCGGTCTCCAGCGTTCTAACAACGCTAGAATAAATTTTGTATCAAGGGAATAAGATTTGATTTCGATGACACGCCCAAACCCACAATGTATAAGATAGTTTGTAATGAGGGGGTCGTGTGGTATGTAGTCATGCACACGACACCGAAACCTTGATACATCCTGCAAAATAATGAAGTAAAATTACTATAGTTTTTTAGACAAAATTACTATAGTTTTTTTGGACAAAATGGTAAAACATAGACATGAACAAAAAGACTTACAAACTCGGCGATGTTTTCAACCGTCCCTCTATGAGAATCACCCATGGTTAGTACAGACATTGTCGAGAGTTGGGAGTTTGAAAGTTTAAGAGTTTCAGACTTTGAGAGTTTGCGAGTTTGAGAGTAGGAGAGTAAGAGAGTAGGAGACTTTAAGTGTGAGTAGAATTTGATGGGTAAATACTCCATATTTATATTGCAAGAGTGGATATGGTTTAAGTGCATGCTTGACACTTGTGAGGAGATGTATGTGTTATGTGGGTGCATGCTGAGCACTTGGCGTTACATATGTGTTGTGTGGGTGCATGCAGAGCACTTGGCGTGACATATGTGTTGTGTGGGTGCATGCAGAGCACTTGGCGTGACATATGTGTGGTGTGAGTGCATGGTTGGCACTTTGCTTCAGCTATGCATAAATGCAGTGTCTTTTTGGTAAAAGGATGCAGATTCCTTCAGTGTAGCGTCTAATCAAACAGGCTACATGGCATTTATTGTAATGCAGTGTTCCGTCTAATGTATGAAAGCAGATGCTCGTAGGCCTGCATGGTCAATGTAGGGATGCAGATCACATGTGAAAAAAGGAGATTCCTTTAGTGTAGCGTCTAATCATACAGTGGTTCATTCATTGCATAGTGTGATTTTTTATTCAGCATATTATATATTTAATATTTTCAAGTCAAAGTGTGATTTATTTCGTATTATACTATTTTCCATATTATACTTTTTTCATATTATGGAGCATGCGTGATAAATGAACATCACATGTAAATGCGGAACTTTAGGATGGGATCACTTTTTGATAGCAGACGTGCGAAGTGGGGTTCGGTATTACAATCGGGTCAGCTGTACAGCGACACTGCAATGAAATTCATGAAAGACGAAGCTGCCAAAGCCAACACCCACGTGGTCACAATATTTGACCGTACAGCTGGTTGGTTCAGTGTTGCCGAGGCTATAGATCACAATGAAGGAAGGCCCAGGGGATGTTATCGTGTTGAATTAGATAAGAGCTGGTGTGATTGTGGAAAGTTTCAAGCATTCCGTATGCCTTGCTCTCATGTCATAGCAGCTTGTTCGAAGGCGCGCCAGGACCCAACCAACCTTCTTTCTGCAGTTCACCAAGTCATAAGTCTATGCAATGTCTACTCATGCAGTTTTCAGGTGTTGGCAAAGGAAGACTATTGGCCGGAATATGAAGGCCAAATTGTTTGGCATAATGACTTGATGCGCAGAAAAAAGAAGGGTCGACCTAACAGCACGCGCATACGAACAGAGATGGATACCTCGGATAAGCTAGTGAAATTGTGTAGTTCGTGTCGGCAACCAGGACACAATCGTACGACATGTCCAAACGTAGGTCCGAGCAGCAG